TTACATAGTGGAAATAAGAAAAACCATTGCAACCTAAACATTATATTAGTTTTTCATCCGGAATTCACAAACAAGAAAACATTATTTCATTTTTATATCATGTTTTCATAGTATATTTTGTTAACTGTTTACGTTTGGATAACTAATAAATAAAAAGACGGACATACATGTTTTGGAAAGCAGTAGTATTCACGTTAATATTTGATATTAAAATTCTGATTAAAAAAAATTCTGCATTGCATTAATTTTTTTTTTTTTTTGACCACAAAGTGCTACTTATCATGAACCTTCGATCAAAATTTTAAGCATTTCTGTTTATTCTAACAATTTTATCCACAGAGCACCTACCGAATAAAAATTACGGTTTTTCTCGATTATTATAAAAACCATTTGGAAAAACAAAAATTAATGAGTTCCTCTAAGTACCACCCAGAAAATCCTATCAGAAAATCCTATCAGAAAATGTACTACCCTTGAAAATCCGGGTAAGATTTTTGATAGAAAAATTGTTTACAGATAAAAAAAATTAAACATCATTGTAAAACTAAAACATGTCTCGCTTCACTCAGAATCTAAAATAGGTGTATCAAGCTGGTTTCTCTTTTTTTTTTTCATAAAATTAATGAAACTATTACAATTTCATACAAATTTAAGTAAACGTTTATCACGGTTTATAAAATTCTATTTTCATGGTCATGAAATTCAATAATGTAAATTACAAAAAATAAAAAAACAAACATACTTTGCACCATGGGTGTGCAAAATTGTTACTCACAAAATTTTCATATTTTTATAATGTGTACACATTGCAGTATATTTTTTTGATTTGTATACAAAACGCTCTACAAATGCCAAATTGTCAGTCTATGATTTAGTTGATAATCGGGAGGAGGATGGAAATCCCTCACGTTTGACAATATCAAACACATTTGATCTAATATATTTAGACTAGTTGAAATTAAGTATACATAAAAAAGGAAAACATCGCATGAGTAAATGCAGTTGAAAGTAAAATTATAAGTGTTTTAACCCAAATAAATAGGTAGTTAATTTTATAAAAGTAAGATGTCTTGGAAAAAAAAAAAAAATCGAAAAATATTTTCATTTTAATTTAAACTAATATCACGTTTCGGAATTATCATTATTAATATATACCGTCAGTAAAAATTGAAATGATCCGACGACACGGAATGCACTGAAGTTATTTTATTTCGTTCCACGCTAAACATATTATATATAACTATTAAAAAAAAAAATACACATAAAAAATGGTAATTGGTGGTACGCCATCGGGCAAGAAAACGTTTTGAAAGAGACATCGTTTTTTTTTTTTTTTTTTTTTTATTATTATTATCATTATTATTGCTGCATTATTATTATTATTGTATTAAAAAAGTATAAAAAAAAAAAAAAAAAGGTGAAAAATAGAACGAGAGGACGTATTTATTATGAGGTGTCCCGTTGATCTATACGGGAGACATTCCCGCCAACTGATCTTTCGCGGATTTTTCGTACGCCGTGTGAGGACAAAATCCAATATGTGTAGACGGGGGAGTGGGAAATAATCATCGTCAAGTCTATAATTCCATGTTCTGAATTCTCGTATAATGGACAATAGACGTATCGATTGGTTATTTCGTCGTCTCTGCAGTCTCTACACGTGCCAACGCTTACATTTAGCGATCGATTGTTACGAGCGAAATGTGCATTAAATCAATTATCATTAAATCTGCGTTTATATTATAACGAACACTATAATTAATATCGTTCGCGTACACTGTTGCGTATATAGCCGTCACAAGCCGATATCAATAGTTTCCGGTATGCGAACAGTATCGTATTATGATATTCAACAGTGATTTAAAACGGATATGCGTAATTATTCAACTGAGAGAAGATATTTCAATTGTAGTATAGCGAATCGATAATACGAACACAAACGTCAATGACAAAAAGACGGACATACTTCGAACGTGGGTAAGCCACTGTTTCACGCGAGAAGCTGGGAAGTTATAGAGGGGAAATTCAATGTACACCCGTGAGCAACGATTAACCATTGCTAACGGAAAACGATTCTGAGCGGAGTTCGGTCAATAGTGTTGCTTTGCCAACAATATATATGTCATGACATACCTATATACCGTTGAGAATATGTATTGCGCAGATATTATGGTAAAATAATTGCATATGCATTATATATTTTCTTTGATAATATTTGTTCAGTATTGTACCTATTTTCCCATTTTTCCTAAATTCTTTTCTCGATTTTTCACATTTGTTATGAAAACAGCTAGGGATGACTTCCCTAAAGTACCTCCTCAGTCAGATTTCCTTTCATTGTAAATCGAAGCAAAATTGCTGGTAGAAAAGTTGTCCACAGAAAAAAAAAAATGAACATCGTTGTAAAACCGATACATTCCTCGCTCCGCTCAGAACGACAGAATGTAAAATGTAAATATACGCTTTTGTAAAGGTAAAATACCCTATAAAACAATTCGTGACATGAGAAAACTTTCGGAAAAATAACTCAAACTCCCTTAAAACAGCATATTATTCGGCAGTTTTGTAATTTACACCAAAATACAGATATAATACGTGGTTCCACCGCAAATAACCGAGAATAGTGTTCGTATAGTATGCATCATAATAATAATTATCCACGAATTTGACTTTCGAATTTATACATATTTTTCATAAGCTATTGTAATCATATAGCTTTGAGGGCAATACTGACGTAGGCAGTATATTATAACGGTATGAATAAGTTAGCGAAACAACCGTTCAGAATCTAAAATGGAATGTTCTGTTATTAGCGTCTCGTACATTAATGTCTTAGAATCTACAATCGAAAGAATTGAATTTTGGTGCAATTTGCAATTCATATTTATTTTTTTTACCACCCGAGATGGTGCAAATGCCATAATTTTATTTTGGTGACAATTAATTAATTAATTTATTTATTAAATTTTAAACGCCCGTACAGATATAAATTGAGCGATTGAATTGAATAATTAAATATGTATATACTACTATAAAAATATAATAAGTAATACATGTGATATTAACGGTTATGGTTGTAAACAATTTATAGATTATTTAATTCTAATTAATTACAAATGCATTTCAAAAATGTTGATACAAACTACACACGCTGTATACACTTTGAATATATTTTTGCGTTTGAATTAACTACGGCCTATTATTACGAGTATAAGTTTTCAGTATAATCGAGATCGTGATGTACAAACTATTTCATCATATACCGGATTTTTAATCTAACCGTATTATTGTTATATTTCTTAGTCACTTTTCACCAATGTTGTACGCCAGCTATTTACAATAACCTCTGTACATTGCCGTATAGGCGTTTGATTCAAATTCAAAACCCGGCAACTTCACACGTAGATGGGCCACTGTTGTAGGTGAGAAGTTGGGAAGGTAGAAGAGGGAAAATTTAATGTATATCTCTAATCAACGATGGACCGTTCCTAACGAAAAAACTATTTTGAGCAGAGTTCGGTTGATAGTGTTGTTTTATTAACAATATAAATTATGTCATCTTGTGGTAAAATAATTAAACAACCATTATACATTTTTTTTAATAACATTTGTTTGATATTGTACCGATTTTTCCGTTATTCCTATGTTTTTCTCGGTTTTCCAATGTTCTCCTCTGGTTTTTCACATTTGCTGGGAAAACTTTTGGGAAAATTGAAAAATGACCTCCTTAAAGTACCTTTCCATTCAGATTTCCTTTCCGAAAAAATACTATCGTTTTAAATCCGAGCAAAGTTGTTGGTAGAAAAGTTGTTCACAGGAAAAAAAAACCGCCGTAATATTTTTTAACTAATACCTACGTTTCTTTACTGTTTTTCCTACGTTTTTTTTTTTCGGTTTTTAAAATTTAATAAAAAAAAACCTCCTGGGTAATTCAAATAATTACCTCTCTAAAGTACCTTCCTAGTCGGATTATTTATCTGTTTTTCACATATGATTTCCGTCAATCCGCTGACGAGATATTCCATTTTTAAGTTAGGGTGAAAGGAGAATAGTGAAGTATCATTTGTATGGCGGTACAGCGCTCGGCGTGTTCATAATGCACCACCACTCTCCTCCAACCCAAACTTAAAAGTGGATTATCTCGTCAACGAATTTACAGAAATCAAGATTGTCAACACTAAAATTTATTTTAACTAGTTCTCCCATCTATTTCTGGACTTTTTAATATAGGTGGCCATTTGAAAATCAAAAGTAAGTTGTGATGGTTTTACCCCCAAAAATAAGGATGAGAAAAAATAACATAAACATACAATTGTATAGAGCTGCTTGTTTCTTAAATGTTCTAGAAAACAAATTCTGAAAAAAGTTAACACTTTCCGAGATAATGAGTGTACCCACTTAAATGAATCACCAGGTATACAATTATACTTTCTGTTCTAGATTTTTCTTTGGTTTGTCGAATAAATTGATATTTACTGACATTTAAATACGAAACTATATGCGTCACACGAGAATACGCGAAAAGACAAAATATACTATATTAGGTTCTCACCGAACTTGTTCTACTGCACAAGATATCCCGCGGACTAGAGTGACTTTTAAATTCAATTTATAATTTTATAATACACATCGTTACTATAAAATATGTATGAATAAAAACCCCCGACATACTTTGCACCGTGGATGTTTGTTCATCTATATATATATAAAATAACTTGTCCTGACCGATTCAGCATCACCTAGCCCAACTACTTGACGGGTACCGACTGAAATTTAGCATACAGACAGCTATTATGATGTAGGTACCCGCTAAGAAAGGATTTTTGAAAATTCAGCCCCTAAGGAGGTAAAAAAGAAGTTTTTTTAAATTAATTTTTGATTAATTTAGTATTATATAGACGGTTATAAATACAAAGGAGTAATCATGATCACTATTCTAACGGTCTTGAGAAGAGAAGATCAAGGAAGCGATAGGTTTATAACGGGATTAATCAAGATTTATGTGTGCTAGGTGTGAAATAATTGGGAGTAAACCGTTCAAATTAGTAGAAAATAGAATGTGGGGTCGGTTGTGGCCAAGACTTTTAAGACTTTTGGTGATTCGTGAAGCCAAGGAGAAAGGCCAGGATGAAGAACAAAGTTTTCACTGCACTATTCTTGTTTTGCCCAAAGTCGATTTATTACATATCAATGCTCGAGATAACGGAAAACCAAATCAATTGCCACTATTCTTGTATTATTTCCCCCAGTCCTTTCAATTTGAATCCTCGATCGAATTCAATACTAGTCACGATGTACAATAATATATTATGTATTATACTACGACTACGTGGAATGCGTATGACGATGGTATTTAAAATTACTTTTTTTTTTTCTATTTAACTCTTTTCACAGGAATAAGGCTTTTATATTATTTTGTTTTTGAATAAAATATTATACATTTTGTTAGTAATATTATTATAACCTATTATTTAAGTAAGTATGAGTCAAATTCGACGTAACGTGTGTATACATTTCAACTTCAAAAGAAACTGTATAGGTATGCACATTATTTTATATATGTGTATATATTAGAAATATATGTGTGTCACGAAGGCATTCTAGCCAAACAAACATCAAATAATAATAATAATAATACAATTTAAGTGCACGGTGAATTAGAGTGGAGTGTAAACAGGTTAAAAATAGGTATCATTGTTAAATTAAACGAATTTTGGCTTTATTTCAAGATAGGCACCGAAAATATTGACCACCAACGGTTTTTATCACAATACGGGGGCCGTTTCTTTGCAATTGCAGATATTATAAGATATTATTATATACCTGTGTGTACTAACTATTAAGCATTTCAAATCGTACCAATCGCTCGAATTAGGACGCGATGTCCAATCCATCAATGTCGAATACAAAATGACGAGAACAGCAACAAATAATATAATATTCTCTTCATTACACGGTTCTAAATGTAATTTTTTTTTTTTAAATATTTCGATTCACATCATCTCTACATGGATGGTTTATCAATTCAAAACGTTTGCACGAATATTAATTTAGACTATTCATATAGATCGCAATGGAACGCGTGTTTTATCGCACCCGTGTGTCCGTGCCAAGGGCCTATAACTGGTACCATAAGTACGAAGTATTTACTTAAAGTAGTTGCTTTAGCAAAAAGACGATTTATTTAACTGTAATTAAATAATATATTGTTAACTATATAATATTTTTATAGTATACAAAATGGGGAGGAGTGAAGTCTTTTGTCAATAAACGGATGGGTGGGTGTTTCGTAATATAAGTTCGCGCTACCACTGCCAATAGAAACACCGCACTTTTCAAGTTTTATTTTTCTTTTATCATATAATCAATTAATTATTTATTTTTTTTATTATTTCAAAATTAAAATTCACGTGTATTTATCATTTCATGTGCAGGTGTTCATGAATTACGGGAATTTTGAACTACACGGTCTGCAGCACGAAATTTTTTATTTCACGTGTACACATGTAATAAGCAACTTTAAATATTATATTATATCAATATTAAATATAATAATATAATAATTTTTAGATTCTGAAGCGTGGTTTTTCTTGGAAAATCATTTTTTGATTAATAAATTATTAAAAAAGCCCCAAATTATTCGCATCGTAATTTAAAAACATTAATAGAATAAAGCTTTGTAACGTAGCATAAATGGGTATCTTTCAAAGCAGCTGTTTCAATGACAGTGTGAAGTATTTTTAACTTATGAAGCTATTTCAGTTAAATTACAAAATGCTTTATACGACCCAAACAGATACAAACAAAAGAGTGTCCAAAAGCTATGAGGCTACTAGATGTCCTGTAGATACTTCACATTTTTGTTAACGATCAAGTGCCTAACCACCCACCTACCTAATTTGGTTATGAACCAGCCGCTTCATATGTGTGAAGCGTCTACAGACTATAGTGTAAGTTAAAATGCTTGATTCTACGGTTGTACGAGATATTTTGCAATTTAACTGAAACTGCTCCGTGGGATAAAAAAAAATTCACGTCGCCACCGATGGCGAGAGCTCATCTGTAAAACGTTATCTATTATGTTTGTCGTACAAATCGTACAATATGTCTATACAATATAATTTGTGAGGCGTTTTATTTTTTTTTTTTTTTTTTTTATTTCCTTACAAACTAAATTATATTCTTGTGTCGAGAACGGTGTAAATTTTTAATCGCCGATTAGTCGCCAAAAATCAAATATCGTTCGTATAATATACGTATACTTAAACTATAACTATAACTATACTCACCTATAACTTTCTATTTAATATAGCTCACATCGCGCCCGTCAATCGTCTCTCGTGTGCTACATTTCGAAGCCATTTCACGGCGTCCGCGTTTGGCCGAATAGAAAAAAAAAAAACAACGATATATCCAACTGTTAATCTTAAACTCTTTTCAGAGAGGATAATAATAATATCACCCGTGCAATAATAACAATAATAAACAATATTTACGTACCTATATATAAAACGATTTTTATATTTGTCCTCGCGGCCGTCCGCGTGTACCCGTTTCCTCGTTTCCGCGTGTAAATTGAGAATGTGGGATCACAATAATATAATGCATATTGTATAGGTAATTCAATGCTGGGAATTAAAGTTAATTTTAACTATCAATCGCCGATGTTTTGTAAACTTAACTGTTTTTCATTACAACAACGAGTACATTTTGAATTACCATCGCGTTAAGTCAATTTTAATTTTGCTTTAGTTTTAAAAGACAACATTAAATTTACAATCTAATATACTATACCATTTGAACAAGTATAACTGAATTAATAATAATATTAATTTTACTCTTTTGTTCAATAATTTGTCTGGGGTTCTAAATGTAAATTTTAAACTAAATGCCTGTATTTTATAATTTGATATTCCTGGAACAATCTCATATTACGTATTTGACATTGACAATTGTTCCTCATTTTCTCCTTCGCCGTTATTTGTGGTCAGCCTGTTTAGGACACTTCATCCTGTTTTACAATATTTTACTCCGGCAGTCGACTTGTCGAAATCACATTTGTCGTCTTCTACGACAGGTATGTTAATAGTTCTTATTTTCAAAAAAAAAAAAAGACATCTTACAATAACGGAGACGGGTGTAGCCACTATTATAGGTAATCTAATGTATACCAGTAAGCGACGATATAAAACATTGCTTACGAAAAAACGATTCTGAGCGGAGTTCAGTTGACAGTGATGATTTGTCAACACTATATATGCCATATTATAGTAAAATAATTAAATAGGCTATATATATTTTCTATAATAATATTTTTTTAATGTCGTACAATTTTTCCAGTTTTTCTCATTTGTTCAGAAAACTCCGGGGAAAATGGAAAAATAACTTCTTTAAAGGTACCCCCCCACACCGATTTCCTTTCAAAAAAGTTGCTACACATAAAAATCGGAGTAAGTTCTCTGGTAAAAAATGTTGTCCACAGAAAAAAAAAATAATAATAATAAACATCTTTGCAAAACCATTAGGTTCTTCGCTCCAGTCAGAATCTAAAAAATTACAAATTCTTGATTTAAACATTTTCACTATAGGTATATACTATGACGTCAATAACAATTTCACGAAAAAAAAAAACCAAACAAAAAGATTTGATACTGTTGTAGGGGGGAAGTTAGGAACGTAGGATACACAAGGATATTTAATTTATAACTGTACGCAACAATAGTTGTTAACAAAAAACCGTTTCAAAGCGAAGTTCGGTAAACCAAAAAATAACATAACATAATTTATTAAACTAACTATAGTTTAATAAGTTAATTACATTTTCAAACTTACGTTTAGCTCAACTTAATTAATTGATAAAATAATTAACTCCTAATGTGTTAACTCATTCATATTTTTTGTTCGACTTGAATTAACCCAGTCAATATTATTTAATAATCTGCCCAGCCTTGAATATTATATTTTATCAAACTAAAAAAATATTCTTCTCGAATCCATCATAGTCATCGTCATAATATTATTAGTTTAACATGATTCTTACAATAAAGATATTTTTTAACGACATTGACACGACATGATATAAATTAAATCGATTATTATTGAACAGTTATTTTCGTAGACGAGTGCACGCGTTGACGATCATGTTTGTTTAACGGCAAAATTGTAATTTTTATTTTCGTCGACAATTATTACCTAATTTTTTTTTATGGAAATGCTTTAACTTTACAATATATTAGTAACTCTAGTAAAAAATAATTTCACGAATGCAATCGAAGTACAATATTGTATCGTCATTTTTATAAGTAAGTATATTGTATAATGTTTTCGCCTATTTCTGCAGTTTAAAAGTATTCAAAGGTGTTTAAAGGCAGTTCAATGTGGGTTGTAATATATCAAACATTTGTTGCTATAAGATAAAACGAATAACCCGAAAGGCTTTTACAATAGGTTTTGAAGATGGTACGATATATCAAATATGCGTGTAAGGGAAGGGATCACCTTCTTTATCTGTGTTATTTTTTTTTTTTACCATTCCACTAGTGCTCGAAATGAAAAATGTATCGAACCATAATAAATATTTTTTTTTTAATAAACAATGAAAATTGATTTTAAATATTTGGTTTTGTTGTTCATAAAGTTGTATATATATTATTGGGGAGGTTAAAATATGTTTGTTACACTATGTTTTGAATGGAAGGGCAAGTTCCACGCTGCCTCCCTGCTCCTACGTTATTGTAAACATGATATTTTATCATTATTATTCTCGATTGTGTTTGGTATATTTTAGAAATATATACAGAAGATGAGTCATTCGTTTAAATTATAATTTTAAAATAAATGTAATCAAGCGTAAAAAAAAAAACTGAATAAAAAACAATTTGAAAATATCACAGTATATTTGCATTCGTTTTAGACAAACTATAGAATCAAAGACGATAGTCAATACAGGTATTAATTGTAGTTCAACCGTGGAAACTTATTTCGCCGTCCGAGTTCAATATCCTCAAATATACAGTCAAGTTTTAATTTCTTAAGAAAAAATAACAATTTATATTATATAATATTCTACCAATAAAAAATACTTAGCGTATAACTGGAGTATTCTTTCTTACTGGTTTTCATTTTTATGTGATTTTCGATTTTTATGGCGAAGCTTCGAGTTAAATAATGCAGAATAAAAAATTACGCAAGTAATACAGTATAAATATATTGACGAGAGAGAAATGCTTGCAAAACTATGACTTATGATGAGTTACCTTGGCAGTGGCGAAATTGAAAATTTTTCAAGGAGAGTGGTATATCA